TATCTAAAAACCAATCCATTTCTTGTACATTTTCCAACTTTATGGCATATAAACTTTCGTAGTAAGATAATGATTCTCTGAATTTCTTCTGTGTCTGTTGTTATGTCCACCTTTTCATTTCTGATCTTATTAATTTGAGTGTTCTCTCTCTGCTGTTTGATTAGTTTGGTTTGGCTAGGGGTTTGTCAATCTTGTTGATTTTCTCCAAGAACCAACTTTTTGTTTCTTTGGATTGTTTTCTGTGTTCCTATTTTGTTGATTTCAGCCCTCAGTTTGATTATTTCCAGTCTTCTACTCATCCTGGGTGAGTCTGTGTTCACTATCAATGGAGAAAACAAAATATTCCAGGATAAAAACAAATTTAAACAATACGTAGCCACAAATCCAGCTTTACAGAAAGTAATAGAAGGAAAATCGCAACCCAAGGAATCTAACAGTGCCAACACTGCCTACAATAACCCAGACATCTAGTGACCATTCACAACCACAACTCAAAGAAGAGAAACACACAAACTCTACTACACACACACACACAAAAATAATAACCGTATCCAACAACCACTGGTCATTAATGTCACTTAATATTAATGGACTCAACTCACCTATAAAAAGGCACAGACTAAGAGATTGGATATGAAAACAGGATCCATCATTCTACTGTTTACAAGAAACACACCTCAACCATAAACATAGACATCTACTCAGAATAAAGGGTTGGGAAAAGGTTTTCAAAGCAAACGGACCTAAGAAACAAGCGGGTGTGGCCATTCTAATATCTAACAAAATTGACTTCAAACTAAAATCAATCAGAAGAGATGGAGATGGACATTTCATACTAATAACAGGAACAATTCATCAGGAGGAAGTCTCAATCCTGAATATCTATGCCCCTAATATAAAAGCACCCACTTATGTAAAAGAATAACTTTTAGAACTCAAGGCAGTCATCAAACCACACATACTAATAATAGGAGACTTCAACACACCTCTCTCACCAATGTACAGGTAAATCAGACAGAAACCTAACAGAGAAATAAGAGAATTACTAGAGGTAATGAATCAAATGGACTTAACAGATATCTATATAACATTCCACCCAAAAAAGAAAGAATATACTTTCTTCTCTGCAGCTCATGGAACCTTCTCGAAAATTGACCACATACTTGGTAACAAAGCAAACTTCTACAAATACAAAAAAAATATTAGTAACCACCTGTGTCTTGTCGGATCACCATGGAATAAAGTGAGAATTCAGTAACAATTTGAACACTAGAAAGCCTACAAACGCGTGGAAGTTTAACAGTCAGCTACTGAATCATCCCTGGGTCAAGGAAGAAATAAAGAAAGAAATTGAAGTCTTCCTTGAATTTAACGAAAATAAAAACACAACATACTCAAACCTATGGGACACAATGAAAGCAGTGCTAAGAAGAAAGTTCATAGCACTAAGTGCCCAATTAAAGAAAACGGAGAAAGCATACATTGAAGCCTTAACAGCACACCTGAAAGCTCTGGGAAAAAAGAAGCAGACTGACTTAAGTCTTAAGGAAAGGAGAAATATGTTTAGATCCTTTGGATCTTGGTAGCTGGGGCTGGAGTATCAGCTGTGATGAGAAAGTTCTCAGAAGTATTCAAGTGAAATTTTGCTTTGCTGGGTACTTAATTCTGGTTGGCTTGAACTAAGAAATCAGTGATAATTAAGGGACCCTCATCACTGATGTGAAAATGTCTGGGAAGTGTTTTATAAGAGCACACAGAAGCTGTCTTCCAGAGTCAGCCACGTTTGAACCTCATGCTGGTAGATGGAGTTTGTAATGTGTCTTACTCAGGTGGTATTGCTTTTGAAGGTATTGATGGATGTAAGGCTTGGCACTGTGAGGCCAGGAGAGGACATCACTGAAGGTTTAGTCTCATTGGCGGTTGAATAACCAGGACTATAAGGGTCATGCCAATAGGTGCGACTCCTTGAGGTGATCCTATGAGAAACTACTGGTGAAAGTGAAACCCAGTTGCAATAGAAGACCCCAGAGTTTTGGAGAGGCCAGCCCTGTGAGATGACCACCAAAACAGCAGTGACAGTGGAACTGAGCCAGCCAGAGTCTAGAAGACCAGGTGTGTGTACTGCAGAGGGCAGAGTCAGTGTATTGATCCCAAACCAATGGAAAACTACAGAAGATCTTGAGTGGATTTTAATATTGGAAGTTTGCAATTCTTTAATTACCCAAGATGTTACAGATCCCAGGGTCATAGGTTATCTGCCAAGGAGAGCAACTAATGGGAAATGGAAGCAGCCCAAGAAAAAGAAATATGCTGCTCTCAACAAAGCTTAACAGGATTGGAGACCTAAGAGCTCTTGGTCATGGAATTAGGTATCATTACATTGGCAGTTTTTCTTTATTATTACTTGTATTTGGTTCTACCCTAGTTCTCTGAGCCATCCAACTTCCGGATCCTGCCCATCTAGGTGCTCTTCCTAATTGGGCCAGTCATTGGTTAACCACTACACAAATCTTGAGCCACCATTTTCCTGATATATCATTCAAACACAAGTGTGTGTCAAATATTTTGTGAATGGCTTAGTTTCCTAGGCTCACCACTGAGAGCCATATATGATTCCAGAAGTTGACCAGTACAGGCTCCATGTTTCTGAGTTATAGGGAGTTCTCACTATAATCACCCTCAAAGATTGCAGAACATTGTTACTGCACTGTTTCAACATCAAGCCTTGAAAGTTTTCCTATTCTAGTAATTTCTTGCAGTGTTTTCCCCTCCATACCTCCATTGACTCCCATGATCCTTCCTGTTCTTGCTGTGAGTACACCCACAAAATCTAGTCAATTTAATCTTCCTGTTTGGGATCCATGCACCCCTTGCTACAGCCATCGTTGTCACTTACCCTATCTGGGTCTGTGGATTGTACTGTGATTAGTCTTTACTCAACAGCTAATATCCACTTACAATGAGTAAACATCATGTTTGACTATGTAGATTGGGTTTACTTGCTCAGAGGCAAAGAACTCAAGAAGCAACACATCAAGAAAAAATTAATTAAATAAGCTTGTTAGAATTCACCTTATAGTTATCAGAATAGCTAGATTCAATAACACAAGAAACAACTCATGCTGGCAAGGATGCTGAGTAAGGGGAACATTCTCCATTGCTGCTGGGAATACAAACCTGTATAGCCACTATGGCATTTCCTCAGATAATTTGGAATCTATCTACCTTAAAACTCAGATAAATCACTCAGAGTTTTATATAATCATTCAATATCATGATTGTGATAAGAGATTCACATTGAAACACTTCAGGAATTGTTCCAGCCTATGACAATCATTGACGTTAGACTATATACTTTTTTATCACGTAGATGACTATGAATATTTATGGATCAGGGTCAGAATGTAGTTGATCGAAGGAAAAGGCCCAAGATTGGAAGAAGTGGTTGAACACTTGTCTCTCCAGGGTGCTCTTTTTTGTTTTATTTGTGGAACATTTAGTAGGCGAAATCTTTTGGATGAAATTTCTGTATTAGGGATTGGATTTACATGTTTATAGCCTGAACCCATTTCTGGTTATGTGGGTCCTGCTATTATGTCACCACCATTATACGTGGCATCACTAAATGACAACAGGTGCAATTGAAGCAATTTCTCTTCACTCTTAAGCCTTTTGCTATCCTGATTTCTATTTTAACTTTTTGCTTTTACTTTTGTTTTTGAAAGACACTGCTTTTCTGTGTAGCTCTGGGTCATGAATGTAGCTCCTTACACCATGCTGTCCTCAACTCAGAAATACAAATGGTCCTTGTTTCTGCACAGAGGGATTAATGGTGAAGCAACATACATTTTGTGTTTGTTTGTGTGTGTGTGTGTGTGTGTGTGTGTGTGTGTGTTGTTTCATTGTTTGATGAGCCTGTAATGTAGGTTTTCGTACATTTCAATGGCAAGTTTCTATGCCGAACTTTACCTACATCTTGAAATTTGAAGTTTGGTGGAGGGTATCATTCTCTTTCTGAGGAGAGTAGTATCCATGACATTAATACCTCTTCCTTCTGAATCATTGCACTGCAGGTGTGTGATTTTCTACCTACATCTAATTTTTTATTTGAATGCTTTCTATGAATATGAGGTTGTATCTATATACAGGGGTCCGTACCACATGCATGCCTGTTCCTCATGGTGGGCATAAGAGGCCTCAGAACCTATGAAGTTGAAGTAATGGTTAATTACAAGCCCCCTGTTAGTCCTGGCAATTGTGCCCACTTATCTGCAAGGACAGCAAGACCACTTAATTGCTGACCCAGCTCCCTTACTCTATGTTATATTTGATCATCATTTGCAGGGCTGATGTTTTCTTTGGTCCATTTGTTAAACATGCACTCCCTTTAATTAAGATCTTATTATGAAACAGTTTAAACTGGGCCAATGCAGGGTCTGTAAGATGAATGTTGATCTAAAGTGAATACAAAACTTTTTGTCAGAACTTCAGTAAAACCTCTGATTTTTTTTCACGTTTTTTACTTGAATGATTTTTGGATGGATACTGGGTTTCATTAATTTGTAACTGTGGCTTACCTAACTCTTTGCATAGGCTTTGACTGACATCCAGTTCAATTTAATTCATCTGCTTTTACATTGATTGCTGGGTTAATGGTAAGAGTCAATATACTTAATTTTCACATCTGTTTTCTAGGTAATCAGTGTTCTTCCTATTTCTGTTATGTTTTCTATGTAGTGTTGATCTACTTGCTTGTCTGTCTCTGTATGTCTCTTCATTGGCATTTTTTTTGTCAAGGCTGTATCCTATTTAAAGGGCCAAGGAATGGCACATATGAACCTCCTCTTCAGTTCCCTTCTAAGGTGATTGGTGATTACATTATAATGCCTATGTCATGCAAGAAGTGGGGAAGCAGAAGCATTACAAAAAATATATCATTTTAAAAGAAATATCCAATGTCAGGATCAAACTTTGTTTTACTGTTGTTTGGATTATTGTAGAATTCAGTGACCTATGAGGATGTGCACATTGACTTCACTCAGGATGAGTGGGTTTTGCTGAATCCTTCCCAGAAGAATCTCTACAAAGATGTGATGCTGGAGACATACAGGAACCTCACTGCTATTGGTATGACTGTGAACTTTCCTTCTCATTTTTAAATAAGGAGACAACTGTGTATTATTTATTGATACTTTTGTATATTTGTGAGAAAGAGTAAGAATGAGCCAAATAACTAAGGCATAGTTCACTTAAGATATTCAACTGTGTACAATATTCATTAATATATTATCTACTTTCTGTTACTGTATTTTAGGCTATAGTTGGGAACACCATAATTTTGAGGAGCATTGTCAAAGTGCTAGAAAACATGGAAGGTAATTTTTATTTGCAATTTGGTATATATTTGTCTCTGGTGAAATTTTAATTTGTCCTGGAAGATTTAAAGAAAAACAATAGTATAAATATGCACATCTTAAAGTATATTGATGGTCATTAATTACTCATAAAATGATATGTCTCAATATGAGATAACTGGTCTGTGTTTCCAAAGTATTCCTCTAAAAGCAGAAGAGAAGGAAATGATTCCTTTACTGATACCACCATTTCAATCATAGCCCCATGAGAACTATGCTGTAGAGCTGCCAATCCATTTAGTTTCATACCACTCAGATATTGCACAAGGAACACAATACACACATTGAATAGATAATAAGTATATGTTTAAAACTGTCAAAAAATAAATAGTGTGTAGTAAAGCCAGTGTTACTCATGTACCTATGACTTTGTCAAACTTATTGAAAGAGTTGGTTCATGAGAGTAAAGCAGGCTCTTGTGGAGAAATCTTAATTCCTATACCACATGTCTGTGAGGAACAGAAAGTCAAACTGTGTGAATTCAATGAACAACCATTTATTTCTTCTTCCTATAATCAGAATGTCATATGTCACAAGTCACCTTACCAAAATGGGTAGAGGTCCTGTATATCTTTCAGAATAATGAGAGGATATGAAAGATATTTAGTATTTCAACACTGGATAGACTTGTTAAACGTGTTATAAGATTATATTTAATTGGTTTTCAAACTTCCTTGTGAAGACACCAGCAAACTCACACTGAAGATAAGCCCTATGAGTGTTGGACTGTGTACTTACTTTTATTTTTTCCTAGTACACTTTCTTGTTGTAGGTATTGCACTACAGGAAAACACAAGAATGCAAAAGGAATGTAAGGTTATTTCAAACTGAGTTAGTGTAGTTCCTTTCAAATATGTAAAAAAAACCAACCTCATAGAAAATGATTCTATAAATGTGGGTCTTTTATTAAAAGACCTTTATCATCAAAGGTTCTTCAAAGACACAAAACATCCCATACTGAAAAACAGCACCATGAATATAAATCTTAAAATCTGATTCCCCTTTACAATTAAATGAAATTATAAAATTAATTCATACAGATATTAAGACTCAGTGTAATGTATGTGGCAAAAGTTTTACATGTGCCAATTTTCTTTGCAGGTATGAAAAAAACCATAATGGAGAGAAACCCTCTGAATATACTCAATGTGATAAAGCCTTTGCATGTTATAGTCATCTTCAATGGCATGAAAAAATTCATTCTGCAGAGAAGCCATATGATGGTATTCAATATGA